GGAAGGAATTCATCGAATGGGGAACTAAGAATGGGCTGGCGATATTAAATGGAACTATAGAAGGGGATAGAAAAGGGGAATATACTTTTTTAGGGAGAGGAAAAACGGTGATAGATTACGGTATGGTTAATGGGGAAGCTTGGGAAGAAATTGATAAGTTTGAGGTCATGGGTATGATAGGATCAGACCATTTACCAATAGCAATTGAGTGGAAGAAAGAAGTGAATGATAGTAGAGAGAAATGTGTGAATAACGTTGTTATCAAATGGACAGCGGGAGCGATTGAAAAATACAGAAAAAAATTGAATGAGAGAGTGAATGACATTCACAATTGGAAAGAGATGATAAAAATAGTTAACGAATGTATGATTAAGGAAAGAGTAGAGGTGAGAAGCAGCAATAGTAGATGGTGGAACTACGCATGTTTGAGGAAAAAGAAAGAATATGTAAGGACATTAAGTAAGTGGAAGAATAATGAATGTGAAGTAATGGAATATAAAAGAATGAGGTGGGAATATAAGGACAAGATTAAAAAAAGTAAGGATGAGTATAGTGATGAGTTGATAAAAAAATTCAATATGGCCAAAGGAACTGAAGAATTTCGGAAAATAGTTAATTTATATAAAAAGAAAAAAGAGAAAGGTATAAGTAGTTATATCAGATGAAGAGTGGTACAATCACTTTAAAGGAGTGTTAGAAGGAAGAAAGGAGTTGATTGCAAAAGATTACATGATAAGGGAGGTAAGAGAAGAGGAGAGAAAGATACCATGTATAGAAAGAGGTGAAGTTATGCAAGGAATAAACTCGTTGGCAAAAAAAGGCTTGTGGGCAGGATGGGATACCAGGCGAGGCTTGGATATATTCTGGAGATTTAATATGCGATAAATTATATGAGATGTTTAAAAGGATATGGGAAAATAATGAAATACCTGGTGAGTGGAAATGTGGTGCAATAGTACCGGTGTATAAAAGGATAGAAGGGATAATATCAAACAAAAAAAAACAAAAAAGTTACTGACGGCANATTATATGAGATGTTTAAAAGGATATGGGAAAATAATGAAATACCTGGTGAGTGGAAATGTGGTGCAATAGTACCGGTGTATAAAAGGATAGAAGCGATAATATCAAAAATTATAGGGGTATAACGGTCATGGACTCGGGATATAAAATATATACCGATATAATCAAGAATATACTAGGGGAGATGATTGAAGAAAATATTTTAAGCGAAACACAATTTGCGTTTAGAAAGGGAAGGGGTACTATAGATGCTATCTTTTTGTTAAAGAATATTATCGAATCATATTTTAATATTAAAAAAAGGTGTTTGTAGTATTTGTGGACGTAAAAAGGGCATTTGATACGGTAGACAGAGGAGAATTGATAAACATGTTACGGATGGGTAAAATTGCAGAATTGTTAATTGGGAGCATAATGGAAATATATAGAGAAACAGCAAAGATTAAGTGGTAAGGAAATAAGGAAATTTTGGATGGAAAAATGTGTAAGACAAGGTTGTAAGCTGTTTTTTTTTGTTTAGATTATGCTCGAGGAGGGGAAATCTTCAAAAGACACCCCCTGAAGGGAGGTAGTGTCGGATTTTTACTGACTAAAACCCTTCCTCGAGCGGGGAGATAAACCCTGTGGATTGCTCATCCCTGGGAAAAAAGTGGAAAGCTGGGGATTGACGATAGGGTTGAGATGGAAAATCGGCTAAGAGTGTGGGTGGAGGGGAGTATTGGGGTGGAAACGGAAGTAGGTGGTCCACCTCTGAGGTGCTGGGTGGACACTCGCGCTGAAAAGCGAAGCTAGGAGTCAGAGGTGAGCGGAAGAGGGCGGCTCATTGTAGAAGAAAATTGAAGAGTGCCGAGATGGTGGGGTTTGGGTGGCCTGACACTGAGGCCGGAGATTTGCCGCGAATGTG